ATAGTGGGTCATAAAATAAAAAATGGAGTAATAAGGACCAAATTCATAAGATCGGGTGAAACGGTTAGTAGGTACTTTAATAAAGTTCTACATGCCATGAATGATCTTCGTGGTCAATACATGAAGCAAGCACCTAATGAGATTCCACCGGATGAGATTCCACCGGAGATTGCCAACAATCTAAACTATTTTCCTCACTTCAAGGTAAGAGAGAAATAAATTGTTATAGTTAGTGAATTGCATAATTTAATAAATATGAGAAACTAATATTTATCACAATGTACTATTTTTATAGGATTGCATTGGTATGATAGATAGAACACACATTGACGTAATGTTACGCTTTAGAGGGCGTAAAGGTGTAACGCAAAATATTTTAGCCGCTTGTACTCCAAATAAAATTTTCACATATGTCCTAGCTGGGTGGGAAGGTGTGACAAATAACTATAGGATTTTGCAAGGGGCGTTGTCCAGACCACAACCTTACGGTTTGAGAGTATATGATGGTAATCTTCCAACTCATTTAATAAATAATCAACTAAATAATATGCCAACTATCAACGGATTCCGCTTTCATAGTAGTCCCTTTCTACAAATATTTACAGAAGATCATTGATGATGATCATGTTAGGGGTGAATTTGTTAAGCCAATTTATGATACGACTGGCGTTAACAATGTCATTCCTCTTGATGATGATAATAGAGACATTCAACATGAGAGTGAGACTGAGCCTCAATCTGATGCTAACAACACATCAAACTCCACTTCTATAAAATCCCAGCATGAGTCTAGCACAAGGCCTTCCTCAAGCAAAAAAGGCTCGAAAATCCAATGATGATGAGTTGATACATAGCTTTGTTGAGTCAATGTTGGAATCAATTGAAACCAACACATCATACATTGGACTGAGCAGTTAGCTACAGCTTTGAGGTCCCATAGTGACACATATAGTGGCATATTCCTCGACATGGTATTAGATCATTTGTATGAGTCTAAGAAAGAGGCAAGGAGGTTTTTTATCAAAATGAATGAGGCGCAGAAGATGTTTATTGAAAGTCTTGCGGCGGCCCAAGGATGGGATACATCCTTGGCTTGATGGATTCATGTGATCTTGTGGGCTCGGTTATTTGTGCACACGACACTCTATTTTGCTAAATCACATGATGTTCAAATACTTTGCATTCATGTTGCTAATTATTAAAATCTCACACAAACTTATATTTTGTTAATTTGCAAACTTTAGATGTTGCAAGTCATGTTGCTAATTCCTAAACACGTACACGTACTTATATTTTGTTAATTGCAAACGTTAGATGTTGCAACACATGTAGCGAATATTGTTGTTGGTTATATTCATGTTGCTAATTGTTATTGTTGGTTATTTGTGCTTAGATTGAGCCAATGGTTGTTGGTGCCTTGTGGTATATAATGCTCGGTATGAGCTAAATGACACATGGATTTTTGGTATTCTATTTCTGGTATGGGTTCTTTTCGTATTTGTTTATTTATATGGGCAATGATGATGATAATAAATTGAGAATGCAACCTATATTTATTGTGTAATGCTTAGGCGTGGCAATTTTATGTGGAATGCAGCCTACATTGATATTTCAATGTATGAGTGAGGCAAATCATCAAAAGAGTAGCCTATGTTACATCATAAATGTTTAGGCGAGGTAATCTTTTATGACAAATATATTTATATCCTGAGCCCTAGCAAGTATTCATGTAATGGTGGATTTGTGCTCATTGTCGAGGTGTTGGTGTTGTTTTCTTTTGGTTGGACTGATATTAGAGCTTGTTTAGCTCTCTATTCTACATTGTATTGGGGGTTTGTGCTTGTTGTCGAGCTGTTGGTACTATTTTATTTTGGTTGGACTGACTTTAGATCTTGTTTAGCTATCTATTCTACATTGTATTGGTGGATTTGTGCTCGTTGTCGAGCTGTGAGTGCTATTTTTTTGTTACTATGCTAATTTCGAGCTTGTTTAGCTCTAGCTTGTGAGGTTTTTGGTTGATATTTGTGGTCAGTTTGAGCTATTAGGGCTGGGTTTTTTTGTTACTATGCTGATTTTGAGCTTGTTTAGCTCTATATTCACATAATATTATTCAGATTTGAGCTGTTGTTGGGTTTATACAAGTTCATGGCTGATTACGAGCGTGTTTAGCTCTATATTGTTAGTTTTTTTGGTTGATAGTTGAGCTCAGTTTGAGCCGTTGGTGCTATTTTTTCTTTGTTATCATGCTGATTCGGGCTTATTTAGCTCTATATTCACATAATATTGTTCGGATTTGAGCAGTTAGTGGGGTTTATTCAGGTTCATGGCTGATTTCGAGCTTGCCTATCTCTATATTCTGAGATTTTTTTTGTTACTATGCTGATTTGATTATGTTGGTGGTATTTTGGTTCCGTTTGGAGCTCAGTTTGAGCTTTTGGCAATGATGATGATCAACTAAATAAGATTACAAACTAATTTACAATGTTCATAATAAGATAATGCATTCTTTACTACGTTATTAGAGCACAATCTACATGAACTTGTATGTTTCATTTGAGGCAATCAATTTTGATAAAAAACCAATAGCTGAGCTAAATTTCTACATGAAAATATCAAATTATGACAAATTGGCAAAGTGATACATGATTTATTTAGATCATTGATTTCAATCTAACCAAAGTAAATAAACTTCTAGTCCACGATGCTAGCCAATCCCCTTTTTACCCATGTTGGGCACAGACCCATTGTTACCAATATCGTGTGTGTGAGTTAAGAGATCATTCATATTCCAATTTGTGTAGGGGATATCGTTACAATAGGGACATTTCCACCACCCGTTTTAGTCTCTAACTTTCAAAGCATTGACTCTTAGCATTATTTCTGATTCTTCCATTATATCCCACATCTCATCAAGCTTTTGATCTTCATCTGTATATGAAAATAATTCTTCATATCTTGGTTTCTGTGTTATTTTCCGAGTACGCTGATTACAAAAAAGAAAAACTAGACTCTAGTCATTGGGAAAATATTAATAGAATTTGTAATTTTTTAACCAAATTACATACCTTTGGATTTGATGAACTTGACGAGTCACCACGGTCTCTAACACTCTTACTCATATTTTTCAATTGTAGAAATTTTGTGTTCATGGATAGTTGAGGATAGAAGGATTTTATAAGATTTGAGAATGTGAAACTAGCCGTTATAAAGTGATAAATATAATAGTTGACACTTTTCTATAAATTTGGCATATGTAACCAAACAAAAAAAAAGTAAAACTTGTTATTTCTATACAGTAATGGGCCCATTTTCTTATTTTGAACCAAACAAGCAAAGTACAAAAAAAATGGTACTTTTTTATTTCTCAAAACTTTTCCTATAATTTTTTTAAGAAATACAAAAAAAAATCTATATTTTGGGTGTTTTCATTTACCTATAATTTATAGAAATTGAACCAAACACCCCCTTAAACTCTTAACATATTTCACATACAATCTTCCGATCAAACAAACCTCATCAATCAACCAAGCCATGTTAGAAATATGATCCATGATACAAAGCGGTTAGAGAGAATATTAAAGACAGGGAAAAATGCAGAATCAGGGATGGTACGTGGTTCAGTATACATGGTTCGGTAAGATTATCTGCCGTCCATAGTCATACTAGACTTTCTTTCTTCCTATTCTCGACTGTAAGTTACAATTAGAAGAGCTACAGTGTTGCTATATATAATAATATATATATATATAATATTATATATACTATATATATATAAAAGGTGTCATCAATGGTAGAAAGTTTGGTGGATGTGTCCACTTAGTGACATAAGAATCTCTCTATATATATATAGACACATATATATATATATATATATAATATATATATATATATATAATATATATATATATTATAATATATATATATTTATATATATATATATATTAGACAAGGGTTAATCTGCACAGTCGGAGTGATATACAACTGCAACAATGCGATTGATTCAACATCCCGAACCACATTTGTCTTAGAGAAATCAATTAGCAACAAGCTCCTAAGTTGTCTTCTGTGCTGTCAAACGCCTTTCATTGAGTTCAATGCTGAGGAGGAGGTGTCAAAAATGGAACACTGTGTTGTGGTGCTGGGGGGGGGGGGGCGGGGTTTAAAAGAAAAAGTTCCGCCGTGCAGGGGCTCCCACGGCGCTCATGTGGGCTTTTATTTGCTCAACACCAAACAAAATTTGAATATGGGGCTAATTTAGTAGGTCTTACACATATCAATGACTTTTGAGGGGTTTTGCTTTCATCTTTTCCCATATTCTCTCTGCCTTTGTTTTCTCTTTGCTTTGAAGCGTGCATGCTCTCCTCTGGCCATAAAAAGACAGCCTCTTATCTAAAGACACCTGCCCTCGTAAGTTCTCTGAAGTTGCTCACAGTCTTCAAAGAGAGAATTTTATCTTTGAGAGGCACGTGAGATCAAAGATGTCTTAAGTGAATCCTAAGCATTGACCGCTTTTGAGTTTTCATCCTTCTCCGTAAAAAATGAGAAAACTAGTTGGTTGCCATTTTGTTAAGATAAGGTTGTATAAATTAAATTACACAAAGCAGATGTCTAATTATGGTCTGATTTTTGTTGGTTCAATGTAAAAAGCATCTCTAATTGACTGATTCTATATTGTGTCAGTGGACAAGCAGATAATCAAATTGCGAGGGAAAAGCATTTTCATTTTCATATTGTGTCAGTGGACAAGCTGATAAGGTTGCATATTTACCGGTCTAACATTGTCATAAAACATTGAAGAGCATAGAGGGAATCTACATTGTTGTTTATGCAAATTAAAACTGATGCAAAATCAAGACAAAGGTGATACAGATGACAAATTTTCACTACAGAGAAGCACATTCATCTTCAACATATTTCAGAGTGATGCCCAAAAATGCACAAAGAAGATAACAAGCAAAATCAACCAAGACACCACTACCTTAAATGGTTGAACGAAAGAAGAACAGAGCAATAATCTTCTGCATCTTATGATAATACTTCAATGAATAATCGGGACATAGCTGTATATTCACAATTGCAAAAGAATTATCAAGCATAGTAAAGAAATTACAATCATATTTTCCAAAGTCATGTACTATGTCAATGAATTTTCAATGAGCAACCCCAGAATTTGCTGTGCTGGAATTGAAGGTTTTGACGGAACCAAAAAACAGAAGAGATCATGAAGATATGTGCCCAAATTAATCCAAAGTTCTTTGTTGTGTATGTCAGGAACCGAAGAATATTTCAGGAAGCAACTATTTGGTATAAAATGTACGGTCATTGAAGGCCATCCACATCAGCAGCCATTATTAACAGAATGATGATCACCTCCAGAGGTTTACTCCACAGGAACTGCAAGGAAAATAAAGTAGATAACGGTCAGATTCTAGGGATCCTTCCGAGAAACAGATGGAAGAGGGGAAAAAAACAATAGTCATCACATTAAAGGAAAAAAATATCACAGCGACTCTTCTATAAAAGAAGCAACAAGATGATGATTAAATAAATAACAGAGATTGCAGAAGAATAATGATTCGTTTAGATTCTTAAACCAGGGAATAACATTACTGTTATATCCATAGCAAAGAGGTGTACTCTCTAGTCTCTTAGAAAGTAAGTTCTTATTTGAATTTCAGTGTATGTCACATTCTGTCTTTTTTCTGTTTTGGTGCTACAGGGTGTGTGGATCTCTTTGATAACACAGGGTAATTCACTTGGGGTGTTCCGCAAATAGTGAAAATCAAACTCGCAGAACTTTTGCTTGAAAGAGTAATGCCTAAGGCATTTCACATACGAATTATCACGAATATATACCACACCATGTCGTAAAAGTTACTAATAGAGCTGGACATTGATATTCTTGACAGTTTAGAAAACTGGCAATCAAGAAATATGTCACTAGTGATAAACGATCAACATGGTAAAAGATAGGATAAGAAACGATGTTAGAGTTGTATCTCATTGGGATATTAATCATAGTCAAAATAGTAATCTCGTGGATAATCTCACAAGTAGAACCAATTCTTTATCACATTAACCAACAAAATATTAGGTTTGTATTTTAAGTAATGTCGCAATGAAACAAGCAAGTAGAGCTCGAACTAAGAACATTAACTTTGATGTTTTGTCACATTAACCGGCATTAGTCAAATATAATTGTATGGATGGCTAACAGGAAAAAAATGGATGAAAACCTGAGAAGACGCTTAATTAAGTGAATTGTCAAGCACTAGCAAGGAACAACTCGGGTCCAAAAGGTCCTAAGAAAAGCTTTTGCTGCAAATCAAGACTGTCAACCACAGCAATGCTTTTTGAGTAAACCAGGATCATGTTTATGAAATTCCATTGCATGGGGGTTTTTGATATTACTAACTGGTTATTGAATCCATTCCTTCCACAACAGGATGGTGGAAATATCTGAAGTACTGGAAATGAAGACCACAGTCAATAACTAATCTCCAGTTAAAAAATATTGATGTACCGCAGTCAATAGTTGATCGATACAGCCATATACTGCAATAGGTGCACTATCCTCAGTCATAGATACTGATAGAAAATGAAATACAAGTCACCTTCACCACCAACGAGAACATACATACCTGGTTGATTCCCACTTGTGCTCTGTCCATCTAGTTTCTGGAGCAACACGAACATGTTAAAACACCAACTATATACCAGAACTTTCTAACATATTTCAGTTCTTACCTTGCCATCAGAAATCCATTTAGTAAAATTCCGTCGCAGCAATTTTATTATATCTAACCTCTCCGTATAGGTGGGGTCACCACGAGCAAGCTTATTCAGGTCAACAGCAGCCTCCTGAAATGCCTGTTAGTTTAAACAACATAGAACTATATCAGGAGACACCGAACAATTTGCACAGAAGCAAACAAGATTATGAATTGGGAATCTTGTAAAAAGATGCAGTCTATTTCTGTCATTGAGCAATGTTAGTCTAAAACTTTGGATTAGATGGTTTCCAGCTTTTGAAGATTCACATGACTTAATCAATTGCAAACATTATAGATCAAAATTTTAACGAAAGGAAATGACTCTCAGTTTCGTTCCGTCCACGCAGGGTCAGAAGTATCTGTTGAATGCCTTCCGCATTGGGTTATCAACCTACCCTTAGTACAGAAATGGAAAATTACTTACACCTTCAGCAAAAAGCATGGGTCCCCGTAGTAGAAGAATAATTAACCACAATTGTGAAACATAAGAAAAAGCATGGATACAACAGAAATATTCATGGGCAAACTAAAAGTGAGGTATGACCTTTAGATAAAATTACGAATATTTGATGTTCAAAGAAACAATCTACAGGTGCAATAGAAAGTCCTGTGACGCTCAACAATATCAAGTGTTAAAAGGTAATCAAGTTGATAGAATAGAAGCTCAGAGACATTTATTTCTCTACCTTCAGATAGATGAAATATACAAGTATTTTTTTTAAAGAGCACTGCTCACAAATCAAACATTCACCATGTACACGGATTTCACTACAATTTAAGCACATAATGCGTATTTCTTTGTAGTTATGAGATTTACCCTTGCTTTGCTAGGTCAAGCTTTTATAGAGTTGAATTGCAACTTGTATTATTCAGAAATGCCAGGGAAAAGGATGTTAAATCTTATACAGGCCTCTGACTAAGTATAAAAGAGTGACAAATGCAGAAATATTTGTATGCATGCCATTTCCATGATCAATGATCAGTTGATTATCCAATAAAGGACAAGGTAAATTCAATTTTGTTACCTACAAGATCTAATAATATAACAGGGTATATGATTATACATCAGTACTTAAAAAAACATACTTCCACTACTTTAAGCCATTTAGCAAAGAAGTAAGAAACAAAGGAAAGACAGATAGCTAATGTTTATGACTTGGTGGTGCCTAGGTGGAAATATCTGTTTAGGCTGTGGTTAGCAACTCCAAAATAAGATCGATTTCAGAATATTTTTTGCTTAAC